GTGTTCTTTACTTCCAGTAATATTCCGTTGGACGGACAGACCTCATTTCATTTATCTGTGTGTTTGAGGAGGTGGACACGTGGCTTGTTTCCACATTTTGGCAGTTATGAACAGTGCTACTCTGAATGTGCGTGTGCACACTTCTGGGTGGACACGTTCTCAGTTGTCGTAGGAGGGGAGTTGCGGGGTCACACAGTGAGATGATTTTTACCTTTTTAAGGAACTGCCACGCTGGTTTCAGAGTAACTTCCAGCACCGTTTGGTCACCAGCAGATGCGTGAGGCTCGCAAGCCCTGCGCACCCTCACCAGCTCTCACCGCTGCCCGTCTCTCTGGCCACAGCCCTCCTAGCACCGGTGTGCATCTCCCGGACGGCGGGTGATGTTGGTCGTCTGTCCCGTGTGCTCGTGGGCCACTTGCTTATCTTCTTTGGAGGAATGTCTACTGAAATCTTTTGTCCAGTTTTAAATTGGGTTAGTTGTGTTTTAACTGTTGAAATGCATTTCTCTATCTGTTCCAAATACTAGATCACTATGATCCACAAATGTTTTCTTTCATTCTGCGGGTTCTCTTTTCACTTTCTTCACAGGGTCCTTTGAAGCACAAAAGTTTGTTTTTTTTTTTTTTAAAGATTTTATTTATTTATTTGAGAGAGAGAGAGCGAGAGCATGAGCCGGGGGAGGGTCAGAGGGAGAAGCAGACTCCCCACTGAGCAGGGAGCTCCCTGCGGGACTCAATCCCAGGACCCCGGGATCATGACCTGAACTGAAGGCAGACACTTCACCAGCTGAGCCACCCAGGGGCTCGAAGCACAAAAGTTTTTAATTCTAATGAAGTCCAGTTTATTTTTTTGTGGTTGCTGTCACTGTCACCTCTGTGTTTGGTGTTATATCTAAGAAACTTGCCAAATTAGCCTCCTGAGGATTTGCCCCTTCTATGAGTTTTATAGTGTTAGCTTCCACATTTAGGTCGGTGATGCATTTTGAGTTAATTCCTGTAAATGGTGTGAGGCAGGGGTCCAACTGCATTCTTCTGCATGTGGACGTCCAGCTGTCCCAGGACCATTTGCTCAAAAAAAAAAAAAAAAAAAATACTTTCCCCATTGAATTGTCTCGGTGTTTTTGTTGAAAATCAACCACAAATGGAAGATTCCTTCTAGACTCTTCAATTCCATCCCACTGATCTGTATGTCTGCCCTTATGTCTGTACCACCGTCTCTTCACCACCGTAGCTTTGTAGTGAGTCTTGAGGGGGAAGTGTGAGTCCTTCAGCTTTGTTCTTCCTTTTCAAGATTGTTTTGGCTGCTCTGGCCCTGATTTCCATATGAGTTCTAGGATCAGCTTGTCTACTTCTGCAAAGAAGCCAGCTGGGGTTCTAGGAGGGATTTTGTTTGTAGATCAATTTGGGGAGTACTGTCATCTTACAATATTAATTGTAACCCACGAACATGGGATGATGTTCCACTTATTTAGATCTTAATTTCTTTTGATAACATTTTATAGTTTCCAGCGTAAAAGTCTTTTGTTAAATTCTTCCTAAGTTTTTTGTTCTTGCCTATTCTGTTGTAACTTGGGTTGTCTGTTGCTGGTGTATAGAAATACAGTTGGTTTTGTATATTTATCTTGTATCCTGAAACACTGCCAAAATCACTGACTGACACCAATAGTTTTTTTGGGATGTGTGTGTGTGTTCCTCAGGATTTTCTGCATACGGGATCATGTCATTGCAAATAGAGGTAGTTTACCCCCTCCTCTCCAGTTTGGTGCTGTGACATCTCTCTCTTGCCTAACTGCTCTGGCTAGAACCTCCCTTAAAGGTAGAAGAGAGTGGGGAGGACACACATCCTTGTCTTATGTCTGATCTTAGGAGGGAAAGCGTTCATCTTTCATTATTAAGTGTGACGTTAGCTGTGGGTTTTTCATAGATGCCCCTGTCGGGGTGAGGAAGTTTCCCTTCCATTATGAGTTTGTTGAGTGCCTTTGTCAGGAAAAGGGTATTGGATTTTTTCAAAATGCTTTTTCTGTCTATAGAGAGGATTATGCAGTTTTTGTCCTTTATCGATGTGGTGTATTTTATTGATTTCCATATGGTGAGCCAACCATTTATTGCTGGGATAAACCCCACTTGCTCATGATACAGAATCCTTTTCATATGTTGCTGGATTTGGTTTGCATTCAGTATCTTGCTGAGGATTTTTGCATCTACAGCGATAAAACCATTGCTCTGGAGTTTTCTCTTGTAGTGTCTTGAACTTTCGCACTTTCACTGGTCTTGTTTGGTTGGTTTTATGTCTTTCTTTGTTGTCTTTCCCCCCCAGCACGGGAGCTCCTTGGTGCCAAAGAGGTGTCCCATGAACTCAGACCTCCAGGGCCTGGCGCCAGGCCTGTTACAGAGGGGTGGGTGATGGTGACCCCGAAAAATGACAGGCCCTTCTTCCTGTTTCACAGCAGTCATGCCCATGCAGAATGCCGAGGGCATCCTTGTGCCATTGTGCCCCGCCCCCGTGCCTGGCACAACAGGGGAGCTGCACATGGCTGACCCTGGCAGGTGTTTGGTCACTGAAAGGCTGGGAATTGACTTTGGCGGCCCCTTTTACAGGAGATCCATCATCACCTCTGGGTTCAAGGGCAGCACACAGCCCGCGCTCTTGGGGGGGGGCCGTCTGCCCCGAGACGCAGAGTTTGTGGCCACGCCTAAGCCCACAGTCTGTAATGAGTGTGGAAATTTTGAAATGGCTATTTGATTTCTTGTGGTAATTTGTATTTCTCTGAAATCTCCTCCAGAATATTTTTCAAAAAAAAAAAAATGAGTAACTTCATGAGAATAGGATTAATGAGTGTTCTATATTGGTTCATTAATTTTGATAAATATACCATACTCCATACCAAGACAGTAACAGAGAGAACTGGGTGTGAGATATATGGAAACTCTCTGTACTGTCTTCATAATAATTCTGTAAATCTGAAATGTTTACAAAATTTAAAAAGTTTATTTTAAAAAGTGTGGGTGAAGATTTAGGTTAAATTGTTGTTCCAAATAGTTGCCCAATTTCCTAGCAGCTTTTATTTAGTAAAGATTAATTTGTTCACCTGCTACTTATGTCCTGAATTCTCATTTTGTGGACTTGGGGTCATTGATCTACCTGTTCTTAGATGGGGACACTTTCAAGCACTCACATCCATTCCCATCACTTATTTATAAGATCTTCTTAACCATCTTGGCCTTGTTTTCCCTCAAAAATAAAAGTATCAGACAATTTTATTCACATTTTATTTGGGAATGTACCAAACCCGTGCTTTTATTTTGGGCAAGAGTCAACTTCCTTGTGTTGACCTTCCCACTCAAGAGTATGGCGTGCTGCTCAATACGGTCAAGTCTTGCTTTTGCTTTTAATAATTGTGTCATTTTCTAAGTATGTAGACTTCTGGTATTTTTCTGATGGTGACTTCTGGCCACTAGTTTCGTTGCAGTCATGGACATGTTTTTCTTCTGGGTTTTGTTGACTTTCTGTGTCTTCTGTGTCTGGTAACCAGCCACTTTCTGAACTGTTTATTAGTTCTGAGTTTTTATGTAGACTCTCTTGGATGTTTTTAAGCCACATTGTCATACTGTCTGCAGACATTCATTTGGTTTTTCTCCCTTATTGCAGTGGCCAGATCTTCCAGATTGATGTTAAGCAACAGTGCTGGTATTTGTCACATGTCTGTGCTATTTGTCACATGTCTGCCTTTAATGCCACTGACCGTGGGTCTAGGACTCTACTGTATCAAAGAAGTACACTTGTGTTTCACAACTCTGTCTTGTTGTTGCAGCATCTCATGTTACTGGAATTTTCTAATAGATGAAAACCATACAGTTATTTTCTTTTTTTTTTTTAAGATTTTATTTATTTATTTGAGAGAGAGAGAATGAGAGACAGAGAGCATGAGAGGGAGGAGAGTCAGAGGGAGAAGCAGACTCCTCGCCGAGCAGGGAGCCCGATGTGGGACCCGATCCCGGGACTCCAGGATCATGACCTGAGCCAAAGGCAGTCGCTCAACCAACTGAGCCACCCAGGCGCCCCAGTTATTTTCTAAATGAACCTTATCAAAAACCACATTTTTTTTTTCTCAAATGTTCTCAAGCCTTTAGCTGTCCAGGTGGCCCAAATGACACAAGAGCCTTCACCTTAAGGGAACCGTGAACCGCAGGACGAAGAGCAGAGCCCCAGCTCAGCCCGTGGACCCTGCTCCCGGAGCCCAGATGCCACAGGACGTGGCAGCAATCCTGCGGCCACCTTCTGAACGGAGAACCCTGAGTTCTCAAGAGGGAAGGGATGGCGTGGAGTCGGCAGGAGCATCAGGCGTGTTCAGGGGAGGGGTTGGTGAGGATGGGGTGGGCAGTCCTGGCAGGAGGGCCGGTGTGTGGGGACAGAGGCCAGGCTTCCAGGCTGATGACCAGGTCTGAATCCTGACTCTAACAAGCCTGGCACGTTTCCTCCTCCCCCACCCATGGGGCACAACCCGCCAAGGTCTTGACTTCAGCCTGCTCCTCCTCCTGGGCATCCCGCGGGGTGGACAGTGACCCCTGTGCCCACACCATCCTCCCAGCCAGGCAGCCCCTGGATGCCCCCCTGCCCCCCAGGGGACGGGAGCCTGCAGGATGGACCAGGCCTGTGTCCCGGGAGGGCCCCGCACACACACAGGCCTGGCCCGGGGAGGAGCTCACCACATGTTTATTGGGTAAAGATCACAGAAAAGACAGTCGGGGTGCTGTGGGAAATAAAGAGTATTCTCGAGTCAGTTAAAGGCATGTTTAAGGCACACAGCTGGTGGCCTCCTTCACCTCGGAAAACACGGGTAGGCCTGTTGCTCCGGGGCGGGCAGGGAGGACTCTTCTTCCTCACTTTCTCACGGCCTCCAGGCCCGGCACAGGGGCGAGGGCCCCCCTTCCTGCAGAGCAGGCCTTCCACCACTGGGCCGCTCTGCCCTTGCTCGCCGGTGGGCCGCCGTGGCACCCCCACTCACACCAGGGGGATGGGGTAGGAGGCGCAGGCTGCCAGGCCGCACATGTTCTTCCCACGCTCGATGAGGAAGTACCTGGGTGGACAGAGCAAGCTGGGGCCTGGCTGGGGCTTCCTTACCACTGCCCTTTCCGGAATGTTCTGCCACTCCCCGAGATCTGACTCCAGGAGTGAGGGCCTGGCTTATCGTCAGGAAACCGCTGACCTGACTCTGGACAACATTCATTTGGTTTTTCTCCCTTATTGCAGTGGCCAGATCTTCCAGATTGATGTTAAGCAACAGTGCTGGTATTTGTCACATGTCTGTGCTATTTGTCACATGTCTGCCTTTAATGCCACTGACCGTGGGTCTAGGACTCTACTGTATCAAAGAAGTACACTTGTGTTTCACAACTCTGTCTTGTTGTTGCAGCATCTCATGTTACTGGAATTTTCTAATAGATGAAAACCATACAGTTATTTTCTTTTTTTTTTTTAAGATTTTATTTATTTATTTGAGAGAGAGAGAATGAGAGACAGAGAGCATGAGAGGGAGGAGAG